TTGCTGATCATGTTCTCCTGATACTTTGTCAGTTTTCGGGATTCTTGATTTTCGCGATTTGAAGTTTGCAATTCTCGGAATACCAATTCTTGAAAATTTAGATAGTGTCACCTCTTTACCGATCCTGTTCTCCTGATACTTTGCTCTTGCTCATAGACATATAATAATGATTCAATGGCACGCTCCGTCTATATTTACCATGTCTATGCTCTCGCCTCACTTTTTAGCTCGAAGATAGCAGTCTAGTAATATATAGAAGTCTATGTTTTTTTTCTCCTATGTTCGGTCTTTCACGACAGCGTTCTGAAACTCATCGAAAAAAAAATTTCCGCCTTGATTGGTCATAATACATACATATTGCAATTTGCAGTCTGTCACCATCTGCCACTTTCAAAGGGGCTGGGAGTATTGTGTGTAACCTCGCCTATTAGCTTAAGATAGCTCACAAGTGTTCCGCTTAGAACAAATGATTATTTTCTAATCCGCCGCTGTCATGAAGCTCGGATGATATACACGCGTGTTGTCAATCGCTACGCTCGCCTAAATAAAATATAGCCGTTTGATACCGCACGTACCAGTTTTTTTTTTAAGGCTACGAAGATGGAGCAGATAAAGGTCCCCTTTACAGAGATAAAGGTATAAACTTCTGACTCGATATTTGTCACACTCTGTAATTTATCGATAACAAATTAACGATGATAAATATATTACGTTTATCTCAATTGTCTACGTACCGATGCGCGTTTCTCAGTAAATTATACGAAAGCTAAGTCGCAGAGTTGAAGGGAGCGTCTATCTGTGTTTTTCGCATGTAATATCTTTGTATAATACAAAATCTTCAAAGGGAACTGTATATCTTGCAGGTAGAGAACGTGAGGATGCTAGACAAGTATAGCAATAATCATTCCATCGGCACGCTCTACCTGACAGTGACGCATCTCATCTTTGTCGAAAGAAGCGGCAAAAAGAAGATATGGGTAAACCGTACCTATAGTAGAAATCATCCATTGTTGTGTTTGCGCGACGGGAGTAACGTAATATCATAATTACAGGTGTTATACACGCATATCGCTAATATAGAGAAACAGCCGTTGACGACCACAGGCTCGCCCTTGTATGTCAAGTGCAAGCATTTCTTCATCGTCACATTCGTCATCCCGAAGGAACGCGATTGCCACGAGATTTATCTCACGTTATTAAAATTGTCCTGTCCAGGTAACAAGCGGCCGCATTTATCTGTACACATAGCTTCTAAGAATTTTCTTTTAAATTGTGAATCTGTTACGGAATAGATTCTGAGCTAATTGTCGGCAGGATAAAAGTTCACAATTTTCATTGGGGTTTTATTTTAATACAGCTAGCGTAGAGGATTTGTATTGCTTCAATTATAAAGAGAGCAAAGATACGCTACCTCAGCATGCTGGGTGGAATTTCTTCAATGTACAAAGCGAATTTCAACGGCAAGGTGTCCCAAATGAGGAGTGGTCACTCTCATATTTAAATACCAATTACGAGGTAAGTATCCATAGTATTCGCATTTTGTATTCGCAATTTTCATCGTTAACTAAAATACTAATTCTTTCAGCTGTGCGATACTTATCCGAGGTACTTATATGTTCCTAGTGCGTGTACCAAAAACATTTTACTAGGCAGCGCAAAGTTCAGAAGCAGAGGCAGGCTACCAGTTTTAACGTATTTACACTCAAACAAAGTTCGTACAAAATAGTAAATTAAACCTGTCGTTTAAATGGAAATTTTCCAAGTAAGATAACTTTTTTTCAGGCTGCCATTTGCCGCTGCAGTCAACCACTCTCAGGATTTAGCGCAAGGTGTCCTGAAGACGAAGAAATGATGCATAATATATTATGTACGAATCCTAATTCGCGGTATATGTACGTTGTCGATACAAGGCCGCGGGTGAGTGGATACGATTAAAAATAATTCCTCTTCCGATTGAATATTTGATTTCAGCGGTACACAAATTTAAATATTTCAGCGATAGATGCTATACATATATAAAATAAATGATTCTACAGTTATTCCTAATAGATATATTCTGTTGGATTAGATTAACGCCTTCGCTAACAGAGCTGCGGGAAAAGGATATGAAAATGAAAACTTTTATGACAACATCAAATTTCACTTTTTCGGGATAGAAAACATTCATGTAATGAGAACGAGCTTAAATAAGCTCTTGGACTGTAAGTATAAAATGTTTCCCAAGTTTGTGCGAACGAGACATCAGATGTTTCCATACAATTGTTGAATTTCTTTTCTTATTTGAATTTAGTGCAGAGATCGACCTCCATGAGCGCATTTTTAAGCGGCCTAGAAAGCAGCGGTTGGTTAAAGCATATTCGCTCTATCCTGGAAACCGCCTGGTTCATCGCACGGGCAGTTTCGAACGGCGTGAGCGTGGTAGTGCATTGTAGCGATGGATGGGATCGCACCGCGCAAGTGTGTTCTCTGGCTGCATTAATGTTAGACCCATTTTACAGGACCATCCAAGGCTTTCAAGTAAATAATCCAACATCCGTTTGTCCAAGTTCTTACGTTGCTAATTATTTCATTAAATTTATATATATGTTCCACTTTATAAATATAATTTTAAAAAAATTTTTACAGGCTCTAATAGAAAAGGATTGGTTGTCGTTTGGTCATAAATTCAGCGACCGTTGTGGCTATGTCAGTAGCGACGGTAAAGAACTGGCGCCGATATTTACTCAGTTTATAGACGCGACGTACCAATTGCTACAGCAATATCCATACAAGTTTCAATTCAATGAATATTTTCTCTTGACGTTACACGATCACGTGCATAGTTGTCAATACGGCACATTCGTCGGGAATTCGGAAAAAGAGAGGCAAATGTTAAGGTACACTTTTACAACAATCTTTTCCTTTGTGATAAGTTCAGCATAAACGCAAAAAGTTACAATTCGTATGAATTGCCATTTCAGATTATCCGAACGAACGTATTCGTTGTGGGGCTATTTAGCGAATAATATGAATGAGTATATAAACTCAATCTACAGATGCAATCGTTACAATAACGAGGACACTGTTGACATTCTTCAACCTAAATTAGCACCTCAATCTATCGTGTAAGAAATATGTAGCTCTTACTATTAAAGAATTACGATTTATATTCGACATTAGGCCATACAGCATATAAACCGTATTGTTTTTACAGTCTTTGGAGAGGCTTGTACTTTAGATTTGAAAATGGAATACATCCTAGGGAAACGTGCGAAGACTTAATTCTAACGATTCACGATCACACAAGTTCCTTAGAGGATCATGTGAAGCTTCTGCTAAAAGTATGTATCATAATATGGACAGATAGTATAAGTAGATGTTTTAAATTATATTTTAAGGGAAAATCAATATTCATGGATCATATAACTGTATTCTGATATTCGGTTTCAATAGCGAGTCAATTCTGTGGGGCAACTTTTAAACACGAATAACGCGCAAAAAAAGGGAAAGCATAAATTTGACAATAAATTCATGAAGGATTCTTTGTCGGAGACTATAATAGAGAACACCGCAAATCACGACGAGAAGACAAGAGCTAAACTAAAAGCGATTCAATTGGAGAATGAATTGAAGACAGTCGCTTTAGAATGGAAGTTGTCGCGAAACATGGAAGAATGCGGATGCTCTACCACATTTGATGCTTTTAACAAAAAGGTACAATTGGCAATAGTATCCTTATTACTTGAAAACCGTTCGATTATTTTATCTACGACTACTTTGTGTTTCAGCATCATTGTTGGTCTTGCGGTGATGTGTTATGCACAAGGTGCATGGTGATGCACACAAAATTACCTGGGCATCTGTCGCAGCGTGCTGTACCCACATGCAAATCGTGCTATCAAAGTTTCGGCATATCTGCCACTAGTCCTTGAACGCGCTTTATTTAACACCAATTTATGCTTATAATCCACATAATTTGTACGCACGTCTTTTGCGGAAACGATGCAGAAGCGTAGCATACGTCAAGCAATATCATGTATTTTAGCTTTTCTATATTTCTTTAAATTTTATTCCATTCGTATAATTGATCAATACAAACAACGTAGTACCTGATTAAAAAGTATGTGTACGAATACGGACTTATTTTCTAACTTAAATAACTCATTAACACATTAAAGTTCGTGAAGATTACACTCAATTAATAATAACAAATCATTGACTGTCAACTACTATGGTACAGATGATAAATGCCGTTGCGTCTTATGTCAATGATTTTAAAAGCTACCTCGAGTTTATTATTCGGTATTTTTACAACTATTGGGAAAAATTGCACATGCACATACGTAAGTTAAACGAACACAAGTTGACTTTGCAATACCTTGAATTCTGTTCGCATTGCAATGAAATTGGATTCTGCCATAGTAGTTGAAGAGTATAGTAATCGTTAAATTGTATTAAATTGTTTTAAGTTACATCAGGCTGTAAATTATACATAACCTTGCATTCACATATATTACATTCATAGTTCTTTGATTTCTTTACTATCTCTTACTAATTTGTTCTGTTCTAATATTGAATGTACAAACCGAGTAAAACGCTGCAATATTTCACGATATTGTGGGTAAAAGAAAACCACGTCAATACTATATTATCAAGGCATATTGTTCAATGAAAAGAAAAACACTCCATTGTAAATTTCTGAATACAGATACACCATACATCACTCATTACACAAAAGCATATGTATAATCCGAGAAGTTTCTTCAAATATACTAATAAGACTTCATATACGATATCAAATGTCAATATTCTTAGACGAGTAATTAAATATCGATCACATTGCAGTGAATTTGCTAGTGACTGGCAACCCTACTATCCACAATGGCAAGTGTAATGTGGAATGTGACAGTATTACATAAATATCTTAACGCAGTAATATTCTTATTAAATTTTTTTATAATTATTCTTCTTCCTATTCTTTATTTGGTTTTCTTCGTCGTGGTCCTTCGCCACTGATCAATGGTGTATCCTGCAACGAACGTACGCGTGCTTTTACATAACCGAGGGTCATTTCATTTATAATAAAGAAAGAGCACCGCATAAATTGAAAAACCTGACGCACTCCATAAGTTATGATTCTCGCTGTGAAATAAATAATTAAAGTTTTCCACCAACCTTTTCAATTTCTATCACTTCCTCCGTTTCAGTCTCTTTCTCTGTATCTTCTATTTCTTCTATAATAGGTCTTTTTTCAACGTAATCAGGATCTAGAGATTGCTGATTTTCACTTTCTATCTCATTTTCACTCTCCTCATCGACCATCCCTGAAAGTGGCTTTTCATCCTCGTCTTTATCATCTAGTTTCTCCTGAGACGTCGAAAACAATATGAGAAATTAAATTTAGTTACTTTTACGTAGCTTGTATTTATATAATATTATTAACAATAAGCAAGTAGCGTTGCATGCTGGATAATGGCATGTACTCTGCTAACAAAGGAACTAATGTCATCAAATGTTCGCTTTAAAATTTCTAAAGATAAGCTACTGCCTCAGCATGAATTATTTTACTTTGACCAGATATTATACCTCGGTAACGCAGCAATAATACAGTATCAATACTATCATTACTGCAATTAACAATACGGATATTCCCCACAGCCATAGATGGTCAATAGCAAGGTATGCTGCGATCCGACTCCATATACCCAACTGTATCAAATAATCAAAACAATCTATATTATAAGCATACATGGTGATTTTTAATTACGTGCTAATTTACGTATTATAATTATTTAAAGTCTATTATGCATGTAAAGTATACAAATTCTAGCATCGAAATGAAGCCATTAATGAGCAGGTCTTTCCATTACCGAGGAGCAAGTGAGGATTATAATTGGAAATTAACATTAGTATTATAGCTTAATAAAAGATCTAAGAATAAACACTACACAAAAATACAATATTTATAATATACAATGTTAGCGCGTTTGCACACGTAAATTAATGTAATTTAATATTGCCAAGCGAGTACTTTCAATATTTTGCTCGATTTTTATCTTTCATATCTACGCGAATGTTGTACCTCCTCACAAGCTCGTTTGCACAGATACCAGATGTAAGCTACAACTGGTATCGCGCAATACAAGAAATACAATGCCCACCATCCTGGTTTGTAATTCATCGCCTTCATCATTCGACCCCACAAAGAATCCTGTACATTGTAACTTGCATACTAAAGAATTGCCTAGCTTTGAAAGTGAATCTTCAAACTTGCCGATTGATTCGCACATGTATATACTTATGTTATTTTCATGTAATATAATTTCACGTACGTACACGGTTCAATCGCAAAAATTTATTGTACAACCACAAGGCATTTAAGAAGAAAACATCGTTAGACTGCGGATGAGAAGATACTCACGTTCTCCTTAGCAATTTTAACACGTCGAATCTCAAAAGTATCATCCGCCCATTTCTTCGCAATTGCCTCATCATCCGTTACAAGTATATTGTCGAAATATATGTCGGGAGACATCGACCACAGTTCAAAACCAACGGCGCTCTGAAACATTTTCGCACGTCAAGTATCGTATCTACAATGACGCTTGCAGGAGACTCTCCGTTCTTTACATACAATGGGCAACATCCGGAACGGATGTTCATCGTTGAAGAAATCAGGATTGTGTATAAGTCTAGGCTTCCATTTTCCCTTGTAGTTAGGATTGTTGACGAGCGGCGCCAGCCACTTCCCTTTGTACCGCGGATTCTTCTTCATTTTCTGCTTGTACGGCCCGCAACCAGGAACGTCCGCGCATTTCGGATTCGGTACATCCGGGGCCTCCCATTCGCCGTCCATCTCGACGTCCCAGTCGTCGGGCTTGATCGAATCCGGATTCGGTATCATGGGCGGCTCGTCCTCGAGCCATCCCTCCGGCATAACGTCTTCCTCGTCGACTATCTGTGCCGGAGCGTCCTCGTCCCAGTCGTCGGGCTTCTCTGCCAGCGGATCGGGAATCTTCTCTCGGTCGTCCCAATCCTCGGGCTGTTTGTCGTCGGGGTCCTCTATCTCCAGAGGCGGATTCACAGGCGGAGCAAAATCGTCCAGTAACGAGCCCGCGTTGTGGAATTTGTTGTCTACTCTGATCTCGTACATATTGTCAGGCCGTACGATCAGAGTGTACAAATGCGGATTCTTATCTTTGAAATAATCTTCCAGACGGTCCTTCGATTTCTTACAGTGTTTCTCCGTGATTGTACCGTTCAAGGGATTTTTATGTCGAAATATAAAATGGAGCTGAAGATGAAGAAGGTCAGTAAGTACGATACGCCCAGCCTGTGGCATATCGACTCATCTCTTTCGCAAGGTCGTATTTTACCTTGCGAGAGAAATCAGTCGATGTCGGTACATCGCGATGAAACAAAGCGCGTCTACCTTGTGATCATTGCCGCACTTATCAGGCCCAAACATTATCGTGTATGGTGTTTTATCTTGAAATTGTTTCAAGTCCCCATGTTTATCGTCTAACGTGAGCAACTTAAGATAGGCACCGCCACACTCCTGCCCGTCTTGGAAATTAACCTCGTACTGTACAACCAAGGGCTTGTCTTCGAAGTAAAATGGCTTAGTTAATAAGGTAGACACGGCAGCATGTCTGGCTTTGCTCTTAAGCACTAATCCTAGATCCCCGTCCTCGCCATGCTTCTTAGGTTCCTCGATGGACCAGATTCCTAACGAATAACAAAAAGCTAGACCAACAGGCATTCCCACGCTCTCGCTATGGGTCGGGCGAGGCTGAAGAAAGGGCCGGGCGTGTGCAACGCGTCAAGAATACAAGAATACCAAAGAGAGCTTTGACGGCTAAAATATATAAAGACTGACCAAGGGGAAGAGCGAGTGAGATGGAAGGATGGGGTAGCTGAGGATGCAAGAACTCCACATAAAGAACTGGAGGAGACATGTTGAAGACCGCGATGGATGCTTCAGGAGGCCGTGGCTCGTGCCCGAGCTGTAGTGCCACTAAAGAACAAGTGTGTAGCTGGAAGTTTGAGAGTGAGACAGCTTCATTCTCTCAGGGCCTGAGCAGAATGGCTGTTTCATACTCTTAAGGCAGCCTTAAGACAGTGTTTAACGTTTTAAGCCTTTGTCCTGAGGTAATGCACAATAACTGCCTTATGCCTCAAGAGTACAAGACAGCCATTCTGCTCAGGCCCTCACTCTCAACCTTCTGGCTTCACTCTGCAGAACGGAACGCTCGGTTCGCGTACACGTGTCGTCGGCTTTACCGAACTCTATGCGGAGTCCAATGGGAAAACGAACATATTGAAAAAAAATGTGCCATTAACCATCATATTTAGCGATATCCTCGTCGATCTCGTCCTTCTTCGCTTCCGACAACACCCACGAATTCCTAAATATCTCCTCGCTGTCGAAGTGCTCCGCTAGGTGAGCGGGGCCGGAAGGCGCCGGACTTTTGTAAGTCGGCTTCTGTACTGCATCACTGACACCGCCGTCGCTTCTCTCGTCCGCATTTAATATGTTACAACACGCACTCAGGCAAACCAGCACGACGCACGCTACGATTCTTGCCATTTCATATTCCTGAAAAAGAAAAAAAAAAGAGGAGCAAGCGATGAAAACACCGCGCCTACGCTTTAATCCACTTAATTCACTTAAGCGCGCGCCTACTGCGACGCGAGGCACGCGCCGCGAGATAAAACTAACGAGGAGACGGAAGATTCGAAAGAATAATTTCGTGCGAGGCGATCGAAATCACGTTTGCGAAATCGACTCACTCGAGAGAGAGAGACGAGAGAGACGAGAGCCAGTCATGCGAAACTTAACCTCGAACTTGCATCGCGCATACACACACGCACACTCGCGCCGCGTGGCCATGGGGGATGACGACGCGTAAATCCTACACGAATCTCTCGATTAAATTGGCCCGTGCGCGTATATAAAATTCCGCGTGCAGAGAGAGAAAAAATCGCCCCCGTCGTCTTACCGATTTTACGAGAGGAAGTCAAATTCAGCGAATCCTCGGGCGATCGGCACGGCGTGTAACGGCGAGACCGGGATACGTGTTATTCAATTATTTAATAATGATAATTCGATCTGTCCACGTAGAGCAGCCCCGCGACGCGTTCCAGGAAGGGGCGACGCGCCTCCGGAAGTTGCCGGCGAGATCGCGTTAATTGGGGCAGTGGCCCCGGCCGAGGTGCTCGATCGCCGCTCCACGACAACCTCACGTCCACGCGTGTCCACCCACGACGACGGGAGCCCAGGCGCCCAACGGTAACGGCAGAGCTCTCTCTCGTCGGCGACACACAGCGACACACACGCCAGGCCCCGAGCGATAGGTCCGCTGCATCTGCACGGTTTTGCACCTCGAGCGCAGCTGCGCAAAATAGTATCGTGTGCCGCTGACTTTAAACATAAGAACTTAAGCCAACGGCACACGATGCTATTTTTCCTACTGGATTCCTTACGAGAGCCAATCAGTATTTAGCTTTGAGTCACCTGATCGAAAACTCTGCATCCCGATTGGCTCTCGTAAGCAAACCAGTAGGAAAAACCGTATCGTGTGCCGTTGGCTTTACTGTGAATGAGCCTTAATGTGCACTAGTGCAAACAATTCACTGTCGGCATAGCCGAAAGGATTATATATATTTTAACGGCGCTTTTATCGACAAAAGAAGATTCAGGATATAGGCCTTGCTCGTGTTGCTTGAAATTCCAAAAAATTTCTGCACTTTAAAATGCAGCATAAATTTAAAATGCAACTGGACGTTGAAGAGAGAGAGAAAAGAAACAAAGATTTCAAGTGCAACAAGTGCGAGCAACACGAACACAGACCTCGAGTGATGGGGGGGGGGGGGAGGGAGGGGAGTCGGCCGTCTAGGTATTCGCGCGTCGTGGCGCAAAGCGCACGCTGGAGCGTTGACAGTCGCGCGCCCAAAACAATCGAACGCCCGGGTATTCGCCATCGTGACGCAGCACGTTCAATCGCTCTTACATGTCGAAAGTAACATACTTGTTTGACAAAGAGAAAAAAAAGATATATATATTTTCTTTACAAACATTAATCCCTATCAATCGTTCGATTATACCAATTGCATTCCCCGTCCCTCGCGCGTAAACGTTAAACTTAATAAATGCGGTGCCTCCAGCGCTCTGCACAGTCGGCGTTCACTCGGTCTTCAAGGGCGGCGCAAAATACCTCGTGACCGTCCTCACGATCATGACGGCGCTGAAAACAATCGTCCCGACATTAGCGAGGGCTCGGCGTGTATTCGCGCGTCGACTCGACACCGAGATACCTAAGGACGGCGATCGCTCCGGCCGGCATGATCTTGCCGCTGTTGTAAAAACGGTAGCCCATCAGGCCGCCGAGGGCCGTGCTGGTGCCCAGGAAGACCGCGACGTTGGTCGGATCCTGGGAGGTCTGATATGCGCCGTAGCCGAGGACCGAGCCGAAGAGGAGACCCGCGGCCAGCGAGGGGATGGAATCTGAAAAGTCACGGGAGAATCGTTAGGGCACGAGCGGACAGGCCCGTGCAGGTGCCCGCGCGATTCCGTGGCGAGACGCAAATCGATGCCCGGAAGTGCGACGCACAAGAAGCTGCCGCATCGCGAGGCGACGTCGCGCGTCTACGACGATTCCTCGTGCGTTGACCTCCGACCCCGACTCAAGTCTCACGACAGAACCGTAAACGGTTGCGACGATCTTTCCGCACGGGCCCTTTGGAGGCCGCGAGACGGCGAGAGCCGAGGGCTCGAATCGGAGCCTCGCTCGTCGCTCGAACTCACTCGATTTCACGTAACCTAACACCCCGCCGCCGGCCACCGCGGCGGCGTACGCGAACGCGGCGAAGTCGATCGGCATTTCTGCTACGAGAACGCGATAGAGCGGGAGGAAACAAAAACGTATCGCCCCGAGTGTGCCGTGTGACGTCTGTTTATGTAATGTAATCGCCGAGATATCAATTCACTTCCGTATCGCCGCGAGCACGCAGCAGACCGCGCTTACGCAGGCTGGCAAACTCCTGAGAGAGGCTTTCCCCTGCCTCTCCGTCCCGCCTCTCGGGCTATTAGCGAGAACGCGGGCGATAGATCGCGATAAATAGCGTCCCTGTAATCATATATCACGCAGGACGGCGATAATTTGTAATGCACGGCGAGCGATCCGTGACAGCGCGTTATTTCTCGCGCGGATCGTCCGCGGTGCCGCCACCTGCCGCCGCCGTCGACCAATCGCCGATCCCTCTGGCGCGATCCTGTCCGCGTTAAGTCCGATTTTGAATTATGCGCACGTGCGTTAACGATAACGAGATTACAGGCCTGCCCGTTCGGGCGAACATTGCATAACGCGCGAGTTTCGCGAGATCTGTGCCCGCTTCCTTCGCGAATGCTTCCCCGTGTTGTTATGCAAATTATGCAAATTGAGAAACGTGTTTACGCGAGGCAACAAAAGCGCGCGATTTTGCGAAAATAGACGCGCGGCCAGACACGTTCGCGGAAACGCGGCGGAAGGAAAAGCCAGTAAACGCCGGCCTTAAGTTACGTAACAGTCGATACTATAATTTCCCACTCAACGATATAAAATGCGATGTAGCACCTGTTGGACACGACAGCTACATTGTTGATGTTATGTAACCTAATTCGTGTTTACTGGGAACGGAGTAGTTTTGCCTCTTTTTACTTTTGTACGATTTTCATTTAGATCCGGTTGCACCAGCGTTGTTTAACTTTAGCTTAATTCGTTCTCCGTCTCTTCCCAACTGTTACTTTAGAAAGAGACAAACGTGAATTAAACCGAGATTAAAGTTAAGCGATGTTTGGTGAAACCGAGCCTTAAGTCCGATTTCACCAAACGTTGTTTAACTTTAAACTTACCTTCATTCTGCCTCTTTCCAACTGATGCTTCAGAAAGAGACAAACGTGAATTAAACCAAGACAAAGTTAAGCGACGCCTAAGGCCCGACTTCACCAACGTTGTTTAACTTCAAGCTTAGCTTAATTCGTTCTCAGTCTCTTTCCAACCGATGCTTTAGAAAGAGACAAACGTGAATTAAACCGAGATTAAAGTTCATTTTCCCCGTCCTCTGACAACCGCAGTTATCTCTCGCGCGAAAATTCGACGGGAAAAGTCCGCTTTATCGCGTTGGAACGTATGCAGAGTATATCGATTGGAGTTTCTGAAAACCTGAAATGCCTCCAGCGATTAGCGAGGAATGACTCGTCGATCGATGACGATTCGACGAATCATCTCTCACTGGGTCGTAAAAATTGACGTTCGAACTTTAAATCGCGCACTGCAACAGAGTTTTCGTGGGGCTAACCGAGGTTTCCTCGAGCCCGTAATTCAGCAACGATCATGTTCTCCCAATTACCAAGAGTTCGTCGAAGAGCGAACCACCGAGCTGGCGATGCAGATTCGCGCGAGATTCCTTCCCGGACAGCGCGCCGAGTCCAAGAAGAATTCGATTTCCCCAATTCCAAATTATAGGAAATTCTCTTTCCATCTCACTTCTCCGTCCGGAGGACGTTCTTCGAAAAGAATTCGCTTTTACGTCACCGCTGTTTTCGCTCGGATACAGGAGGAAAATTCCTGTTACGCTTGACAAGAATTCGCACCGGAAATTCTTGCGGAATTCATTTTGAATCGACTACGCAAAATCGTAAAGAATATCAGAACAGTGAATCCCGTTTGACCTCGTAACGATCGAGAAATGTCCGCTCGAGGGAAACCTGGAAAACCGAGGGTCAATTCTGTATCTTGCGACGCAGTGAAAATGCTAAAGGCGAGCGACTTGGCCTCTAAGAGAACAGTTGACAGGCGACAGGGCTATTCACTTTTAGCATTTTCACTGTAGCGTAACGTGCAGAACTGACACCCGGGAATTGGGAAATGTATCGCAATCGGGGGGAAGGAGGGGGGGAAAAAGAGACCATCAGCGTCTCGCGTCGACGACGAGGCACTCGAATTCGAATCCCCCGTCGGCTTCGCCGGGGAGAAGCCGTTACACTTTTTTTCTGCCGGGCGAACTGAAGAGTCACGATCGATGACATCACTTGAGCGTCGATATGAGCGTATAAATACCACGCGGTATTCCCCGACAGGCCGGATTCGCCGTGGGTAGCTCGCGTCGCTCGCTCGACATGCTCTCGCACAGCCTGCTCGTCAACACCGGGAACGTACTCTCCCTGAGCGAGGCGAGGCAGAAGGCCAGTCAGAATTCTACGGATGAGGTCAGTTGACGGTTTCGTTGCGTAACGTCCGCGCTCCCCGCGGCCACCGCCAGCGCGGGGCGTCCGTCGAGCGATTTATCGCTCTCCCTTTCTCTCTCTCTCTCTCACTCGGGGCCGAGGTTATGTCGCGCCCCCGTCGTCGTCGTCGCCGCCGCCTCTCACACTCGTCGATCTGATTCCAGCTGATCGAGACGCTCAAGATCATCCTGAATGACGAACAAAGCAAGGGGGATGACACGACAGTTGTACGTATACCGGTTTTCGGCTGTTTCCGGCGAGCGTGTTTCTCCGAACGCGACGTTGACCACCTCTTTTTTTTTCTATCTTTCTGCCGCTCACGGTTGTAGATCAATGGAAAGAAGGACACGAGTCTGCAGGACGTGGATAGGAAAGACCTGAAGATCACGGTCAAAGTGTTCATCCCGTCGCCCGACGTCGACTCGTTGAAGGAGGCGTTGGATCAAGGTACGTCAGCCGTCGCGACGTGTCCCTTTTTGCTCGTCGTCCCTAACGCGCCTTAACGTCTCGCAGCATTCGAGGCGCTATGCACGGACACCATAGAGTCCCTGGTGATAGCTTACAAGAGCGCCGAGGAGCCGGAGTTCGTGCTGTCGTCGTTGAAAAAGATCTGGTCCGTGGTGGAAGAGTACGTCAAGGCTGACAAGTTATGCAGCGTCGGGCTGAGCGACATCAACACAAACACCTTCATCGAGCTGTTCCAGTGGGCCGGCGTAAGGATGAGTTGCGCGAAAAGCGTCTCCCCGCGACGCGTTCTCGCCCGCACGTCTCATCGCGACGTTCCCTTGTTTCCCAGGTGAAGCCGAACATCGTGCAGATCAATTTGGCCACGTGCTGCGTGGTGCCGCCGGCCCTGCAGGAGTTCACTAAGGAGCATGACATTCAACTGCTGACCCACAGCGATCCCAGTCGTGGGTATTTTTGGTTTTCGCCTAGAACAATCGACGAGCGGGAGCGTAAACGTTGATTCTATCGTCTATTTGCAGAAATTCTCCCTCAAGAAGTGCTAGAGAACATATTTGGCTCGCCCGTCTGTTTGCACTGGCTGATAAGATACCAGATCCATCTCAAATGCCGTGGAATTTTATCGGCGAAAGGATACCTGCTGCGCATTAATAAGTCGAACGTCAAACCTTAACGCCGACGTCGTTAAGGTCGACTCACCAATTGTTGCCACGGTTCGACGCGCCGCATGTCTCACGTATTGTATTATCGGCACGCTTTTACACGGAAAACTCGTTACTTAATTTTTGTGATCGCAAGCATTTCCGATGTTTTATTGTATATAAATGAATATGTATAGGCTTCTGTAGCGTAGCGTCGCGTTAAGCGACTTATTCTTACCCGGTGAACGCCAACTGACAGTTCCGTAACGTCAATATTTACCTTCCAACTCAACAATGTAAATGTTGCTGCACGGTCTCGCGAGCCCGAGGTTCTAGCTACGCTTACACTTGCCGTGAGACACTACAGTGTCTCGTGATAGCGTGTATTGTACAACATACATAACGGTTGTGAGTAGAAAGTTATAATATTGTTGCTACGCAATTGTTGGCGTTTACTGGGTATCGATTAGCTCTTGTGAGTTTTTGTATAAATTTGATATAACTTTTTATAGCATGATGTAGGTAGACGCGCATTTTTCTCTTCTTTTTTATTCAGTTTCTTAACGACCACTTCAGTAGTTTACCGTTGTAAACCATTCGAAGAATAAAGTATTGCAATTTATCGAGAGAAAAGGCGAGTGAGCGTTGAAGTGAAAATCGCGGTACTTTACCCTAAACTACCGGAGGGAAACTTTTCTTTTTTTTTTTGCGTGTCACGCCATTGCCTCGTTCTCGAGGTTTATTTCGTTCCACGTGCGGACCATGCGATAGTTTTATCGTCCTCGAGCGGCTCGTAGCCCTCGCTTAGCGGTAGCCGATCGGGAGTCCGGCGAACGGTGGTGACACCGAGAGGCAGATCCTTCCTTTTGTGCATATACGCGCGCACGTGTATGCGTGTTCCCGACGTTGTCGTCGTCGTCGGTCGGCCCCGATATATGCGCTTCGTTTTTTCCCTTTGCCACTACCGCCTTGTGCTCTCCGCTGCCTTCTCGGATCTTTTCCCTTATCCGCTCGTTCTGCTATTCCGCTCTTCCCGTCCCGTTCCCCGCGCCCGGAGGTCTCTTTTGCGTTAAGCCGCCACCGCGTGGCGCACACATTGCGGGGACGGCAACGCGAAGCGAAAGGACGGGACCTACAGAGGACCGCAAGGATAACGTAAACGCCGTCCCCCTCTCTCTCTCTCCTATCCTGGGTATCCTGGCGGGTTTCAGCGGACGAAACGCGAGGAGGAGAAAAGCCTCGGGAGTTTTCGAAGGAGGGAGCGAGTGAAATCGAACGTTAATACCGAAATGTCGTTCGCGACCACCTTGACGAACCTTCGTCCACGATGGAGGATAAACGACCGGGGTCGACTCGGGGTGAGACATATGCCGGTTATCGCGAAATAATCGCTGACGTCGCGCGCGATCAAGCCGGGGGAACGGAGGGGCGGGAAGAGATCTATTTAGCGAGATCCGCCACTGCCTTTTCCGCTCCCTCTTTCGTCCTTGTCGCGCGAGCCCTTCGCCGGCGCGCGGCGCACACCGCGTCCGTCATCCCACCCTTTGCGCCCCTCGTTCCGCACGCTCTCGGCGGCGACTCCCTTCCTCCCTCCCTCCCCCCCCCTCCTCTCTCTCTCTCTCTCTCTCTCTCTTTCTCGTTTTCTCTGTTTCATTCTCACAGCCGCCGCGTCGAGAAGCGGAGTATGCGAACCCCGCGATACTATGTTATGCCTGCGGATCGCGGGTCTGACATACTTTGTATGTTAATGCCACATAATGTCGGTTTTGTTCCTCTTTTCAGCGTTTATTTGCTCGACTTCGCCTCCCGGTCGCCTCCGATCGCTTTTGTCGCGAACGGTGCGTGCGTTCCCCTCCCGCCCCCGCGGATATCGCGGCCTCGTCCGATCCCGGAGGAGAGACGTTTGCGAGTGACGGCGTCCCTTCGTGCCGAGCGCGGCGAGAGATCCGTTTTCGGAGGAGTCGCGTATCCCGAAATCGCGCGGGAGAGCCAAGCTACCCCGACGGCGCTGGTGACGTTGTCGTCAAAATGGTCTTTCCGATAAACGTGATACGCGTTTATTTGTACGAGGTCACGCAGCGGCGATTGCCTCGAACGTGGAGACCACGATACAACGTGCAACGTTGCCCGTAAACGGCTGCCGAGTAGGAAATTATAGTAGTATTGACGTGACGTCAAGCCCGTATCGGACTACGGACTGAGATTGAGATTAGATTGGAATTGGATCAATTAAAGTAAAAGTTACTAAACTTGAAATTAGTCTGTGATTGGTCAAATTTCAATCACGGGTTTTCGTATGTGCAGGCTATCGAATTCGCTATAAGAGAGCGCACTCCAATGAAATCGACGAATTTTACGACTGTCGCGAGGCGGCTTTTTCTGCTGAACGCGCGGCCGTTCAACGTGGCTTTCATTTCACGTGATGCGCGCCACGTAACGTGGACCCCGCGATGCCACGTTGACGGATGATGCAACCGCGATCGCGTGGCGCGCCTCGGAGGAAAATGAGGGCGGGCTCTCCGCGGGGATCGGGGGAGGACACACCGGCGAGGGAGGGTCGGGGAAAGCTCGGAGCCGTTTGTTGCTGTTATCGCGCCCGGGCCCCTTCCGAGAAGCGGCCGTCGCCTCGCCGTTAATACGCGAGGAATGGGACGGGGGGAACCGAGGAAGCATCGAAAACAAATTATCGGCGGGACGCGTCGTGAAGCCGCGTATCGATAGTAAATTAGCGTCGACGAGGCCCCGCGGGCCTAGGAACAAACAACTGGCGTAATTAATGAAGCTGTTGAGGTGTCCGCGGGATATGATTAACGAGACGACGGTGACGTAACATAAGTTACGTGTGGCATCGCGGAACGACGGCGGGTTAAAGGGACGGGCGGGGAGGAAGAAAGGGGGAGCGAGAGAGAGAGAGAGAGAGAGAGAGAGAGAGAGGAGGGGAGCGGCGGCAGGCAAGCGGCAACGTCGGCGAAGTAGGCGGAGATGACGCAAAAGGAAAAGGCACCCTCGC